CTGATGTATGGACTTCAGAGTAATGTGGCCTATATTGATTTTCCAGGATTGTTTCTTTGTTTGTTGTTGTTTTCTTCCTTCCTCCTGCTATTTTCTCTTTATAGGACATGAGACTTCACACCCTGCTAAAAATGAACTTTCCTAATAGCTCAGGACCTACCTGTCTAGGAATAAACCATCCTAGCCATGAGAGATCAAACAAAACCTCAAACCGGAGACTCATTTTCTTTTAAAATGCTTTCTAGAAAAGATTTTTAAAAAGAAAAGGGGGGAAATGTAAAAGGAAAATAAATCTCAGGGGCCCCCAAAATCACTAAGCTAAAGGGAAAAGTCAACCTGGGAACTGCTTAGGGCTGTTAAAGCAAACTAAATATGACCTGAGAAGGTCTCCATACTTCTATATTGGAGTCCTTCTGCTTGAACTGTAACTTAGCTTAATAATCAGACAAAATTGAAAACCTTACTTAATAGTATGCACCTGTAACAATAGCTGAGTGTTGGCCAATCTCAGTGGCCATACTTCAACCACTCATAGACTGCTCAGTGTTCAAACTGTGTTGAATAAGGCAAATGCAGAGCTGTAACCAGTCTCACTGTTTCTGTACCTCCCTTCCAATTCCTGTACGTCACTTTAACTTTTTGTCTATAAATTTGTTCTGACCATGAGGCACCCCTGGAGTCTCTGTGAATCTGCTGTGATACTGGGGGCTGCCTGATTTGTGAATCCTTCATTGCTCAATTAAACTCCTTTAAATTTAATTTGACTGAAGTTTTTCTTTTATCAGATGGTGTCAGAAGCGGGATCTGAAGTGGAGCTTCTAGTGATCCCAAGGAGCACCAAGTGAACACGCAAGGTGACTGCAGGACCCACTTGTGTCCATTGATCTCTCAGAGTGGCTGGGGATCATGAGTAAGCTTCCTCTTGGATTTCAGAGTTCCACAGATTTGTGTTTTGAGCTCTCCAAGTTTCTTCGAGCAAATATCTGATTCAAACTGGGTTTGGAGTCGCAACAGAAACTGGACTGGGTCCAGGAATGGATTTGATCCAGTAATGAACTGGCTTGGATCCAGTTAGAGGTGTCTTACATCTGAATGGGTCAGAAAGGAACTGGTAGTAAGCAGTAACATTTCAGGGATTATAAAATTTGGCTTTGGAAACTTCACAGGGATTTTTGTGTTCTACCCTTTTGTTTCATTTCTCTTGCATGCTTAGGTAGGAAAAATTATTGGCTAAGTTGATCAAGAGAACCTGAGAGTAAAGCCAATATTTTTGATAAAAATGTGATCCTTAATTTGTGGAAAACTGAGTTCCTTCTAGCTTATACTTTAGGCCTGGGAGGCAGCGAAGTCTTACAGAAACAGCAAAATCTTGCTAAAGATAACTTACAGTGGAACGTTCTGAATGAACAGCAATGCATTTTAAAATGAAGGCTCTTGGCCAGGAGTGGTGGCTCACGTCTGTATTCTCAGCACTTTAGGAGGCTGAGGTGGGCAGATCACCAGGTTAGGAGATCCAGACCATCCTGGCCAACATGGTGAAACCCTGTCTCTACTAAAAATACAAAAATTAGCTGGGCGTGGTGGCATGTGCCTATAATTCCAGCTACTTAGGAGCCTGAGGCAGCAGGATTGCTTGAACCAGGGAGTCGGAGGTTGTGGTGAGCCGAGATCGCAGCCAAGATCACGCCACTGCACTCCAGCTTGGCAACAGAGTGAGATTGTATCTAAAAAAAAAAAAAAAAAAAAAAAAAAGGCTCTCAATAAAGTCCCTTTTGGTTGAGAACAAATTTGGCACCACAGGATGTCAACTGCTATTCCCTTTGGAATAATCTGCCTTGCACTCTTTGCTGACAACTGTGAGTGACAGGATTAGGCATATAGAGGATCTGGGACATGGGGAGCTTTTTTCTTCCCCAAAAGGGGAAAGTTGAGAGCTGACGGGACTGCTGGAAAAAAAATAAATCCCTTCATGACAGCAGCTGCAGCCACCTGAGCTTTTCAGTGTGGGTCTTTCTCTGGGCTCCCTGAGTATTTCGCCTTCCCCACCCTGCCACAGACAATGCTTTTTTCTCTCTCTCTCTCTCTCTCAATCTCTCTCTCTTTCTCTCTCCTTTCCCTTTTTTATCTTTTCTGTTACTCAGGACAAACATTTTGCCCAGAGAACACGTGTTGAAACTCATAGTCGGAGGTTGGATTAGAGATGAAGGGGCCTATGTGAGCAAATTTAAGCCTTGCCCGTTTGATATTGGGTGCTAAGCAGAGTGGCCAATGTCTGTGTTTTATTACATGTATTTTACTCTGGTCAGAACCAAAAAAGATAATTTTCCTTTATGATGAAGCTTGGCCCCCAGTGTGATGATGCGCAAGCTGGGTCACTGGGGCAAAGGAAAGGGAACCCAGAAGCCTGGCATGCTGGTAAAAGGCTAAGAATTTCTTTTTTCTTTTTTCTTTTTTTTTTGAGTTGAAGTCTTGCTTTGTCACGAGGGCAGTGGCACGATCTCGGCTCACTGCAACCTCTGCCTCCCAGGTTCAAGTGATTCTCCTGCCTCAGCCCCCTGAGTAGCTGGGAGTAGTACAGGCATGTGCCACCACACCCAGCTAATTTTTGTATTTGTGGTAGAGACGGGGTTTCACTATGTTGGCCAGGCTGGTCTTGAACTCCTGACCTCATGATCTGCCCACTTCAACCTCCCAAAGTGCTGAGATTACAGGCATGAGCCACTGTATCCGGCCAAGGGTAAGAATTTCTTACCAGTCAGATTTCTGGTTTCTCTCTGTGCAAACAGTTGAATGAATGGTAAAAGTCACTGTTTACTCTTCTGTAAAGTCGTGATTAATGCAAAAAAAAAAAAAAAAAAAATTCTGAGGCCAGTCTCAAACTGATGTATTCGTGCTATGAATTTGTTTTTCTGTGTCGAGGGGTACCTTAGGATAAAACATGGGCTTAGGAGGCCGGGCGCGGTGGCTCAAGCCTGTAATCCCAGCACTTTGGGAGGCCGAGATGGGCGGATCACGAGGTCAGGAAATCGAGACCATCCTGGCTAACACGGTGAAACCCCGTCTCTACTAAAAAAAAATACAAAAAACTAGCCGGGCGCGGTGGCGGGCGCCTGTAGTCCCAGCTACTCAGGAGGCTGAGGCAGGAGAAAGGCGTGAACCCGGGAGGCGGAGCTTGCAGTGAGCTGAGATCCCGCCACTGCACTCCAGCCTGGGCGGCAGAGCGAGACTCAGTCTCAAAAAAAACAAAAAAAAAAAAACAAAAAAAAAAACAAAAAAAAAAAGCATGGGCTTAGGACCCCATAAACTCGCTGCCCAAGATGACCCAGCAAACTGGTTAATAACAAACTTTCCTGCATGTCCCTGAAACAAACAAACAACTGAATGGGGTCTCCATCTTGTTTTATGTCCTTGGGTGCTTGACCTCGTAACCACATGGCAGTACTTCCTCTTGGTCTCTGTCTTCCAGGGAACAGGGATTTTAGGGTTTATGTCATAGGTTGCTCTAAAAATTATCTTGAGTAGTTAAAAGGTTCTGCAAGCTCAAAATTAACTACTCTAGACTTCTTCTGGGAAGGCTAACAGAGACTACCCTGTGCTGTAGCTCAGTAGCTAGTGTTTTTGGCATTTCACACTGGCAGTGCAGGTTTGATTCCCTGTTTAGGAAGTAAGTCCTTTCTGGTTTAATATCTGCATAACCTTGTCTAGTCTCTTCTCCTCCATGGACTATCTTAAATTGTCCTTTCTCTGGTCAAGTGCAGTGGCTCATGCCTGTAATCCCAGCACTTTGGGAGGCCAAGGTGGGTTGATCATGAGGTCAGGAGTTTGAGACCATCCTGGCCAACATGGTGAAACCTTGTCTCTACTAAAAATACAAAAAGTAGCTGGGTGCGGTGGCTCACGCCTGTAATCCCAGCACTTTGGTAGGCCGAGACGGGTGGATCACAAGGTCAGGAGATCGAGACCATCCTGGCTAACATGGTGAAACCCCGTCTCTACTAAAAATACAAAAAAAATTAGCCGGGCGTGGTAGCGGGCTCCTGTAGTCCCAGCTACTCAGGAGGCTGAAGCAGGAGAATGGCGTGAACCCAGGAGGCGGAGCTTGCAGTGAGCTGAGATCGCACCACTGCACTCCAGCCTGGGTGACAGAGTGAGACTCTGTCTCAAAAAAAAAAAAAAAAAAAAATACAAAAATTAGCTGGGCATGGTGGCACACACCAATAGTCCCAGCTACTCGGGAAGCTGAGGCAGGAGAATCGCTTGAACCCAGGAGGCAGAGGTTGCAGTGAGCCAAGAGCGTGCCACTGCACTGCAGCCAAGTGACAGAGTGAGACTCCGCCTCAAACAAATTTTCCTTTCTCTGAGCACTTGGGAGGTTACCTCTGGTAAATTTCAAAAGCCAGAAATATTGGCCATTTAGCCTGGCTAAAATTAGGTAATAGGAAATTTTAAATGGATTTCATTAAAAAGTGCTATGATTAAAAGTCATCTTAATTAAAAGTGGATATTCAACCTCTTTCCTGGCCCTGTTTTTCCAAGGGCTCCACCCTAAAGCCAATAACCAATTAAGAAACTTAAAAACTGGCAAATGAAAAATCTTACAACTACTGTAGTAATCTTCTGTCTGTCTTTCTGTGTAACTACATATGTGTTGTGTGCAATGTTTATATAAAAGAGCTCTAATTAGTTGGCTTAAACAAAAATAAACTCTTAAAAGCAAAATAGCTAGTCCTGGTGTCTGAGTGATTCCCAGGGCCCAGCAAAGGGACCAAGTCTCCAGAGCCCTGAAGACAAGGGGTAACACACCAAAATATGGACTCGTTTTCCATTCCACCTTCATTGGCCGAGCAGCTGCCAAGAACAAAGGCCACATCTCCCAATACCTGGCAAACAAATGCAGTATTGCCTCATGAATTGATTGCTTCTCTGAGGTGCCCATGAGTGTATTTGGGGAGAGGCTTTGAGAACAAGTTGAAGAGCGACTGTCCTTCTATGAGACTGGAGAGATACCATGAAAGAATCTGGATGTCATGAAGGAAGAAATCTTCAGGCAGAGGAAGCGGCTACTGAGATTACTAGGAAGCTGGAGAAACAGGAGAAGAAATGCTTAAAGAAGGAAAAGAAACAGCTGGTTGCACTTGCCCTCACATCTTCAGAAAACAGCAATAGTACTCCAGAGGAGTGTGAGGAGACGAGTGAAAAACCCAAAAAGAAGAAAAAGCAGAAGCCCCAGGAGGTTCCTCATGAGAATGGAATGGAAGACCCATCTATCTCTTTCTCCAAACCCAAGAAAAAGAAATCTTTTTCCAAGGAGGAGTTGATGAGTAGTGATCTTGAAGAGACCGCTGGCAGCACCAGTCTTCCCAAGAGGAAGAAGTCTTCACCCAAGGAGGAAACAGTTAATGACCCCGAAGAGGCAGGCCACAGAAGTGGCTCCAAGAAAAAGAGGAAATTCTCCAAAAAGGATCCAGTCAGCAGTGGGCCTGAAGAGGCAGCTGGTAAGAGAAGCTCCAAGAAGAAGAAAAAGTTCCATAAAGCATCCCAGGAAGATTAGAATGCAAACGGACATTCTCTGGGAGGTGGGGCATACGATAGCCCAAGGTGACATCTCCCAACCTGTGCCCTGTTCCCCAATAAAAACAAATTCACACACACACACACACACACACACACACACACACACACACACAGCAAAATAAAAACGGTAATGCCTTCTAGTTCATGTAACTTCAGTAATCTTTGGCAAATAAAAATAGTTTTAAAGATTATTGATAAAAACATTTAGTCTAAATTATGCAGGTCAGATATTAGGTTTGCTAAAGGCTTTAAGGTCATAAACTGCTTTGACTTTTGAAAACTGTTCAATTTATTTTGAAGACATTAAATTCTAAATAAGGCATGGGGATGTATGGAATCAGCCATGCCCTCTAGCTATGCAAAGAAGGTTATAAAGAAAAGAGATTTTATATAAAAAAGGATGTTGTGTGGTAAATTCTTGTCCTAAAGTAAAAGGACTTGTTGTTTAAAAGAGGGATGTTTAGGGCAAGTCATAAAGTCTAAACATGTTGTACATGGTCTGTGTAAGTCGTGAAAGAATTTAAGAAAAGAAATTTATGCCAAAAATGTTGTACAATTTAAAGGTGATTAGGCCTCCTAAATGCTTCATAAAATGCTGCTATGACTCAACTGTACAGCTTGCCTGCTTTACAGCTAGGTAAGGTCTGGGACACATGGAGTTAGACACTGGAAAGAGTCAGACTTTATTTGCATTTCTCTCTGGGTCCTAGGCTCCACACCTAATACATAATTAAAATCCCTTACTTACCAAGGTTTTCACCAAAAGTAAAAGTCACTAAGAGTTAACATTGTAACATGTAATTGAGACTACTGAAAAAATAAGTTTACATACAAGATGTGTAAGAGAATAAAATGTGTTTTTGTAAGAGATTATAAGAAAGTATGGGAATGTAAATTTTTGCCTAGGTTAGAGGGTTAAAGGATTGTTTTAAGTTAAATAAAGCTAAAGGTTTGAACAAGTTGTGAAAGGTTTATAAAAATTAATTATAAGAGATTCTATGTGTGAACATATTGGCTAAAGTTAAACTGGCATTATTTAGTTTTTTCCCCCATAAATTGGACATTGGAATAGAAGCACAACAGAGTTTGCTTAGAACATTGTTCTGCTCTGAGAAAAAAAATATTGTAAAGCATTATAAAATGTTTATATAAATCTTACCTTATGGTCAAACTAATTAAAACTGAATAGATTTATAAAATGTTATTAAAACTAGCTTTAACATTAAAAATACACTAATGGAAACATAAAATTTGATTTTCTACTTTAAAAATGATTTTATGGCCGGTCACGGTGGCTCAAGCCTGTAATCCCAGCACTTTGGGAGGCTGAGATGGGTGGATCACGAGGTCAGGAGATCGAGACCATCCTGGCTAACACGGTGAAACCCCGTCTCTACTAAAAAATACAAAAAACTAGCCATGTGAGGTGGCAGGCACCTGTAGTCCCAGCTACTCGAGAAGCTGAGGCAGGAGAATGGTGTAAACCCAGGAGGCAGAGCTTGCAGTAGGCTGAGATCCGGCCACTGCACTCCAGCCTGGGTGACAGAGCGAGACTCCATCTCAAAAAAAAAAAAAAATGATTTTACGTAATATTAAAAGACAGTGAAAGGTTTTTGTTTACCTTTTAGGTAAACTACAAAAGGAAAAAGTGGGGGAAAGGAAAGAAAGGAGACAGAATCAGTTGTCCTCATGCTATCTCCATCTTCATTGGGTCTTGTTGGGAAAGCTGAGTCTCTTCTTTATCAGAATAATGTTTTTTCCTCAAAAAAAATTTTTTTTGAGACAGAGTCTCATTGCAGTGCAGTGATGTGGTCTTGGTTCACTCCAACCTCCACCTCCCAGGTTCAAGTGATTCTCCTGCCTCAGCCTGCCGAGTAGCTGGGGCTACAGGCACCCACCACCATGCATGGCTAATTTTTGTATTTTTAGTACAGGCAGAGTTTCACCATGTTGGCCAGGCTGGTCTTGAACTCCTGACCTCAAATGATCCAAAGTGGTGGGCCTCCCCAAAGTGGCGGGATTACAGACATGAGCCACGATGCCTGGCCTAAAAAAATTTTGAGTTATCATTTTGGCTAAATGAGTAACTTATGGTAACCTGAGATTCTATTTTGTAATATCCAATGTTTTAAACCTTTGGTATTTAACAAATCTTTCAAAATCAAACTCTAGATTATCATGCTAAATCAGCCAACATTAAAATTGTTTAAATATACAATTTGAATGAACTCCATGGTCTCAGTCAAATTATCTATGATAACCCATTAGTTATCAGTGCTATGCACCTAAATTGGAAAACAACTGGTATTCAAGAGGACATATGTCTAATGTTAAGCATGGTCTCATGAAGAACTGGGACAGCTGCCTTGTCCTTCCTAAATCCTTAAAGCTTTTGCTATTAAATGTTCTTCATTCCATGACTGGTCATGGAAAATATAAAATAATCCAAATTGAATATATTGATGTGGTGACTTATAAATTGCGGAAATAGTTTAAAACCAATGTTTGGTTCCATATTCCCAGGAGGACAATTAAAGCCTCAGGTACATTTGGCTACCTGATGGGCCATTTAAGCATTTATAAAGGAATTTCATTCAATTGTCATTTTCAATGCATGTTTTCTGGTGTATAAAAGCTTTTCCGTGCAAGAGGGCTGATGTTATAGCAGTAGATTATTATGCTACAGTGTATTTTACCAGGTAAAGAAAGTTTTTTATGGGTCACTGAGGACAATCCCTTCAGTCTAGAACCCGAAGACTTGATCTTCTGAGAACATCAGAGAAAGACCGTCCTTGCCATCCACACTACAGAAAAACTTTGGAGCCTGGAACCTTGGGTTTATAATCTCACAACTGAGAAGGGTCCCTCACACTCCTGGAACTGTACACCTCTTGGAACCCTTAAGGTAAAACTAATCAGGAAAGTTTCTCCCCAGAAGAAGATGGCATCCTTGATGTGAACAGCTTTTCTGAAAGATCACAGATCAAAACTTCTATTATCATGAGACTCTTATCTTTGAATATGTTTTCCTTGTTTATGCCTCTATGAACAATAGAAATGAAAAGGGGGTCCATTATGTGCTCTTATAGGGTATGCTTTTCTTTGTGAAGGATTTTGCAGCCAGCCTTATACATGAATAACTTTAATAGACAAAAGATGAAGGCCTAGTGTAGGTGAGAAACTTTAGTGATACATACGTTGCCTCAAAATCAGTCAAAACTCCTCTTAACCCACATCATGGATTAAAGAGAACATTGACAGGAGGCCTTCACTCTTCTAGAAGGACATCATTTGTTCGGTCCTTTTTCCATGGCTTAGAATAAAAGAGGCAATAATTAGAAATGTCTCCCTCATAATAGGCTCTACAGCAAATTCTACTTTAAAGTCTGTTGTTATACAACAGACTTTAAATTCTCTTGTGAAAGTTATGCTAAATAATAGAATTGGTTAAACAGAAAAGTACCTGTGCAGCTGCTGACATTTGTGGCCTATGGAGAAATACATCAAGTGTAAATTATAAAAATTCAGTTGTAGGGGATTAACGAAAAAACCACTTAGTCAAGTGAGTAGACTCTAGCTAGTTCATTCTTTAATCTATTTAATTTTAGGTGGTTTGGTTTATGGGGACCCTGGGTAAGGAGCATACTCCAAACTCTTGGTATTATCCTCCTCATAGTCATACTAACAGTCTCCCTGGTGTGCTGTGTTCTCTTAAAGGTTTTAAATGTTTGCATGCAGCCATCTCTAGAATGTCAAATGGTCTCTCTTCAACTGGAATGACAAAAGCTGAAAGAAATGTGCAACCATGAGGATACCATAACGTATGAATGACACGCTGAGACTGGAAACCTAAAACGATGGTAACTGAGAGTGGTGCTAAGGCCCTAAGTTTTGGTCACACTCTCACCTAAGTGAGAACCTGGCCAGAAAAGGGGAATTTTTTAAAACAAAATTATGGGAGGCCATTATTTTGGACTGAGCTCATGCACTAGGCCCTAACAAACCAAATGAAACTAAAATGGAGTCACTTGTGCTAAATGTGACATAATCAAACTAAGGCTTTAAGAAAACACATAGATCCTAGAAAAGATCAGGTTTTGTTTTTCTCCTGTAAATAGATGTTCCAACGTAAGGAGATACCCTCTGCTCAGTGCTTATTCTCTCCTTGCAAAACCCACTGTTCTACTGTTTCCCAGTGGGTTTCAAAACAATCTTAATGTTGGCTGATTTAGCATGATAATCTAGAGCTTGATTTTGAAAGGTTTGTTAAATACCAAAGGTTTAAAGTACATTTACAACAGTGATAGTAACATCAATGACTAAGGTTTTGGTCAATCTCTCAAAATTGAGAAAATGACCAAAATGGGAGAATTGTTAAAGCAAACTAAACATGGCCTGAGAAGGACTCCGTACTTCCATATTTGAGACCTTGTGGATGAACTGTAACTTAGCTTAATAGTCAGACAAAATTGAAAACCTAACTTAATAGTATGCACCCATAACAATAGCCGAGTGTTGGTCAATCCCAGCAGCCATACTTCAACCACTCATAGACTGTTGAGTGTTCAAACTGCGTTCAAGTAAGGCAAACACGGAGCTATAACCAATCTCACTGTTTCTGTACCTCACTTCCGATTCCTGTATGTCACTTTAACTTTTTTGTGTATAAATTTGTTCTGACCAGGAGGCACTCCTGAAGTCTGTGAACCTGCTCTGATTCTGGGGGCTGCCTGACTTACGAATACTTCATTGCTCAATCAAGCTCCTTTAAATTTAATTCGGCTGAAGTTTTTCTTTTATTAGGGCAAACCTGCCTCCCATTCTATTCAAAGTCACCCCTCTGCTCACTGAGATAAATGCACATCTGATTGCCTCCTTCAGAGAGGCTAATCAGAAACTCAGAAGAATACAACCATTTGTCTCTTATTTACTTATGACCTGGAAGCCCCTTCCCTGCTTTGAGTTGCCCAGCCTTTC